TTTAATACAGAAATCTTGAATAAAGTTATCATTTTTATTTATTTCATGGAAAAAAAATGATTAATACATAATATCACAGTGTATAGATTGATTTAAAATCAATGAATTAATATTCTCGTTCAATCTTGAACATGAGGAATTGCCTCTTAAGTTATATATTATTAATATGCAGAATGGCAAGAAATGTGGGTAAATGGAATATAGAAAATTCCGCTTTAGAGACAATAATATCTAATATGCATTTAAAATTATGATATTATGATTTGTTTTGTATTTTTTTTTTTAATTTATTTTTTATTATACAAGAATAATGGTTATTTATCTATATACTAACTTACTAGCCTGAGTGCCAACGCCTGATGAATCCCAGGCTTATGTCTAACATGCATTTTGAAAAAAAACAGGGAATTTCAATGCATACTTAAAATCTGCAAACTTGACTGTTCTTTGTTATTTACCCTGAGGCCCTCTTGTCAGCAGGAGAGTGGTATAATGAAAACAGTCCCTCTCCGAAAATACCAATATATACACAGCATGACTTGAGATTTTCCTCTTCAATTAAAGTATTCCCTTTATACATTAGATTTTTAATATTGAAATCATGAATAAAGTTATCAAATTTACTTATTTTAAGAATAAAATTTTAATTATTTATATCTTTAAAACAAGCCTTACACAGTTGAATACTAAATTATACACACGTTTAAGCAGAAAATAACCTTATTTATTATGGAAGATTCCACTACGTCTGTTTTAGTTTATTGATTTCATTATAAACAATTTTTTTTGAATAATTTGCAATATACGAGTATATTAAACAAATATTGATAATTTTCAAAAACATCATTTTTTTTTCACCTTAAACGGTTAAAAATATAAATATCTCGTAACTGTGTTATGTACGTACTTCATTTGGTGTAATTCCCCAGAGCTAAAACGGTAATGTACCGGAAAACGGTGTTTAGCTAGGTTTTCGAAAAGGTCAATTGATTGTTTTAAAATCTATGTATTATTATTCTCTTTTGATATTGAACATGAGGAATTGTCTCTAAGTTATATATTATAGAAATAATATTTTAGCTAAAATATAAACCTTTCCTTGATTTGTTTGAGATTATGAAAAAAAAGTTAATGTTGTTACAAATTTCTAAATTAATTGGGCCAGAATAATCACATTGATTTTCCCATTTGTACACTAGAAAAATTGAAATACATGGCCATTAAAAAAAAGCTTTAAAAACACTTATTTAATTATCCATTACGGAGCATATTTAAATTTAACCTTACTAATTATATAAATTTGATTTTAAGGGGTATTATTTTACACTTACAGTTAAATACTGGTAAATAAAAAAAATTGTCACAATAAAAAAAAAAATTTTTTGTTAAACAAAAACTTTAACATGATATCACCTACAATGTAAAAACTGCAAATTTTAAAATGTACTTTTTTATATTCATGAATAGGCCATATATTCCCAAAGTCTTTTTTTCTTACAACAACTTAAGTATAGGTTAGAGTGCATATTGGGTGTTCTTCGTAAATAAGAAAGCTAAAAAGGAGCGGAGCTTGCGAAGCGACTGTAGCTTTCTTATTTACGAAGAACATCCAATATGCACTCTAACCGGCTTAGTGCTCCGCCCATTTTTTTCCGCCCACACACTGCGTGACGTCACACGATAGCCTAAATGTGTATAACCATATTTGGAAGAGGTAGCAGTACACATTTTCGGGTCACGTATTTTGCTTAGCTTATTCCCGCATTCTGTCTAGGTAAATCAGACAATATCACGGTGCATATCCATATCGGTACCCTCTTTGCGAAATATTCTCAAACGGTACCCTCTTTGAACATACACAGGTCATTCTCTGCTAAAAACAAACCAGCGATGGATAACAATGCAGTAAAAATTCATTGTAATAAGGAAAGGAGGTATGACACATAGAAAAGATGTATACCACGGAACACTTGAATGTTTTATTAATGTGCTGATTTGTCATGTGCCCTATTTTTATGTACTGCAACTTCACAATAAGCTACAAAAAGTCGACATGTCTTGCCTCGCCCGTCACCTCGACATATTTTTCGGGCTGAAATGAACCTGTAGCTTGATTATATATGCATCATGCATATTTATTATGTTCATATACATATCATCTTCGGACAAATGGCAGTATATTGTAAAATTAATAAAAACATCCTACTTTCGGTTTTGCAGCTGCACGGGCTGTAATATTTACATAAAAAGTAAGAAATATTACATACATACTTTGTTGGAATAAGTGAACTTTTTATTTGGAAATTATAAAATGATACTGGTTCCGTAAGTAATAAAACATTTTTACTGTTATTTTGCCTGTTTTCATTTTAATGAACCTCTTTTTTTAATTATATGCCGTAGTGACGATATACACGTGCGTGTAAGGAAAAACATGATGCATAAATATTGATTAGTAGGAGTAAACTTCAAGATCTCTGCACATGCGTACATTTCACTTTAGCGCTCTTCGAAACTAGCTCCGCCCACTTGCGTTTTATAATATAAAACGTCCAGTTTATATAAAATCTGTTCTATTAAGATTTGTAACCTGAAAATTTGAAAAATCCTCGTCGGTGATTGGCTTAAAAAAATTGGCGAGCACTATCACTGGATACCCCCTGTCACTGGATATGTAATTATCCAATATACCATTTAGTTGTCACCTTCCCTGGCCAGCCTGGTCATATGGTCTAGTGCACTAGAAGTGCACACGGTGTGCACTTCTAGTTCAGCTCTAGTGCACTACAAGTGCACATGGGTGGGAAGTTTAGTGTGAACTCAACTGTATGTATGTATGTGTATGTAAGTTAAAGCTCAATAAGGGTCCATCCGCCCTTTCGGGTACAAAATGCAGCTTGCGCTGTCGAGTACGGACACCGGACATGTCACCAGTCATGTCCTTAAAGAGTTAATTTTGAAGCACAAAATGGTGATAATTTACCTCCATGCAATTTCCACGAAGTATTAGCCAAAGATATGAATTTTGAGCCGAAAAGTAGGTCACTGTACGGCGGTCAATGAGAACCTAAATGTACAGTAACCTGTGATAATAGAAAAGGGCTTTTGTGCCAGCTATATGCCTGCCTTACAAGCCGTCTATCTGTACTAGGGGCTCACGCACCCTAGTACACCATCCTCGTCGTCTCTGCCTACATTGTAGGGCCACTCGTTTCGGCATAAGTCAGGACATCGGCAGCTGGTCCGCAGAAGTGACGAAGTAGGAGTTCCGTAAGGAAAAATTTAAGTTGACTACCAGCCAAGTAGTAAATCTTCTGCCGATGCCCTGTGCCTTCTTAGCGACGTGCACGCTCCGAGGGGAAGTGCGAAGTGAACTCAACTGTATATAAGCACGCTCTTTTATAGTAACATACTTTTCTTACACTACCACGCTACTACGCAGTGTAGTGCATCATATTGCATAATATTTTGCATAGAAACAAAAGACATTAAGACGAGAGACAAAGCCTAATAAGATTTTAGAATGAAATTCAGATTTATTGATAAATGGGAAAATGATCATTTTCACAGATGTCACCATATCAAACAAAACATTTTAAAAATGACAGATAATAAGCAAGGAAAAAGATCAAAGAAACTACCGCGTTAAGATCAAAGAATCGAGAAAATACATCAAAGACGCCGCCGTCGAAAATGATGAACGAAAAGCGCAATCTGTTAAAAGTTAAAATTCAATAAAACAGGTTTGTTTTATAATCTTATAGAAATCATGTTTCCAAATCTGGATAGTTCCAAAAAGCATTATTTGTAAAGATATTACAAAAAATGAAGAAATGAATGCATATATTTTAATGATTACATATAATACGTGTTAACATTTGCAGAACATATTTTCAATGTGTTTGGATCTTTGGAAATTGTTTTTAAAAGGATAATTATATAAATGTATAAATGATCACTTAACTATTTATACATCCTTAATTACAAAATAATTCGAGAATTTATTTGTTATTTGTAAATAAATAGCCACGGGATTCCGAGAATTATAGTTCTAGTACAGTAACATCCCGCTACGTAGACCTCTTTTGGGACTGGGAATAAACGGTCTTAATAGTATGGAATGGTCTTTAATTTGGGGTGGAAAAAAGAGCAAAACTACAAAATATGACATTAAAATAGTGGTCATAATGGGGTGTTTTACTGTACATTTACATAAAGTTAACGCCAGACAAACCCAATGCCAAGTAGGCTTTATTGCTGGACTATGAATCGGGCGACCCGGGTTCATCTCCAAGACGGTGAAAGTCATTTTCCTTATTATTTATCACGAATCCTATCTACAATATTTTGCACTGTACCACAGCTCTAGTATGAACAGAAGTATTTTGCAGCTTCTTGCGAACTTGAAGGCATATAGAACTGGTAAACTGCTTAACAGCTTGAAATGGAATGGTGCGCTCGTGAAGCTCATTTCAATGACACTCACAAATCGTACAATCTGGTTCCCTGCATTGTAACAATAACAATGCCAGTACCAAGGTTTAGAAATATAAATGTTATAAGCAAAATGCAAATATGCATCTATCGACTTGCTGATAGTTCACATGTACAAAAGTCTATTTTCAGTCTAAAAGGAAAATATTTTTGTTATGACATGCTTTTTTGACAATCTCGCGAGGGTAAATAATACTGTGATCATAAAGTACCATAATAATACGAATTCTGTAATGAGTGCAAGCAGGTTTAGTCACGTAAGGTACAATACAAAATGCATTCTATTGTAAAATACAGTTATATTTCACAGATTACAATGAAACCAATAAACTTCCAGTATTTGCGCCACGCGGTGCATTAGCAATAAAAAAAATAACTTAGCATTTAACCCTGTGATTTAGTCTCGTTCTCATTTACCGAGTCCAACAACTCCTTATCAATTCCTTATTGTACCCCGCCTGCTTGTTTGCATTTTCCGAGTCCACAAATGTCATATTAAATCTGTATTGTACTCAAAGTGTCTTCAAAAAAGCGGACTACTTTCGGCATTTGCAATTAAAAGCATCAGGGTCTGAAATTTCGCTACCATTATTTGTTTGGTCTGACGACCATTTTTTGTTGTATCATAATTTCGGTATAAAGCTTCCTGACAGGTTATATGACCGTATATAAACGGTTATTTGCAATACAAGCGCCGCCTAGCACCTTTGGTTATATATATATGCAAACAAACGTTTATATAGCGCCAAATAACCTGTCAAATATCTTATATAATAAATAATGTATTACCGGCCATACATCTTTGTTACTGAGAAATGACACATTTTCTACGTTAACATATTTCAGACTTTTCAAACTAAATAATCGAACTGAAATGTTCACTCAAACAAAGCTTTCATTTCACTTTCATTATGTGTTTGCAAGCATTTTAAACTTCTCCAATGTTTGCATTTATGATTTGTTATCATACGGTTAGCCGAGGTTCCAGTCTGTCAATTTTTATGTGCTTCTGTTCGGCAAATCGACACTACTTTGATACTATCAAGAACACGATCGAGTAAGAAATAGCGTGTATGCTATGAATAAGCAAAAATATCCAGACTAATCATGCGTGTATAATCAGAAATGCATATAATAAAAAAAATATTATTTTTCATTTAATTACAACATTTTGTAAACTTTTCCAAACATTTTGTACACTTCTGTTTGCATTCATGATCACCGGAAACGGTATAACTTCCTCTCTATCCCGATCTAATAAATGGTTTCCACCAAAGCCAGTGTTTTTATGAAAGACGGCCTTTCTAGACGGTATGGGATATGTATCTACACCGGGTACATTGTGAAGTGATACAAAATCCACTTCCGCTGTACGGATGATGAGTTTTGACATCTCGTCACCTGAACTCAACTCCGTTCTTACATTTCGCTGTCTTTGTTTTAATTTTACTGTTCCGGGACTTGAATTCCCTTTCACTGCTTTGGGCTTGTCTTTTTCTGACGAAAAATTTGTCTGTTGCGATACTGTTCTTGTCACGTGATATACCGCAAAATTTCTTTTCAAGTTGGTTACCATTTCGTAAATAGTTTCATTTTTAGACAGTGGTAGAATAAATTCATTAAAACCAATGTCTGTGATAAAGTGCGATTTACTTTTACTTCTATACATGCAGTCGTTTAGGGCCACTGTTTGGCCGAAGTTGCCAAGCTCAACAGGTTTAATTTCACTGGGAAAATTGTCATCGGCCATTGGCGGACGCCATTGTACCACTTCCGCTAAGCCTCGTTTTGAATAATATTTAAGAACTTGGTCTATATTTGGACCGGATGAAAAATTATACACGACAAAGTGATCCACTCCGAGCAGACGGTTGATTTCTATCCATCTGACGAAGTCTGCAGTTTTGTCATATTGAAATACTAAGGGTGGTAAACACACTGTTAATTTTCGTTTGTAGAGGACGCCTCTGGTCGCATTTTGGATTTCTAAGATATTTGTTTGCGTTTCACAATGTCTGGTGGTTAGTGAAACAAAATGAACGGTAGTGTCCATGTTAACATAACATTCGAAAATGGTCGGCGCATATCTGAAAATAAATATAAGTAAATAAATAAGGTGAAAATTGCAAATGAAGCGGCACACCTTTGAAGTTAATAGCAAATACATTTGTGAACTAATCAAAAGCACGTGCATCTAATGCGAAAGCTTGAATATGAATAAAATATTAAATAATTATAATATACATATATAACTTTTCAACATACTGAGAAAAAAAGGGACGATTAACGATATTGTCTCTTACCGCAGTCTAGTTTTGGGGAATAATGTTATTATAAACAATGGAATATTAAATACAAAAAATTTGGCATTATTACCGTACACGTGTTTGTGAGCGCATGTCATCGATTCTTGTACACAATATTTTTTTTTTTTAAGTTATAAGTTTCAAACAAGATTTTATATTATTCAATTCACGAATGGACGAACATTTTGTAAGTCTTGATTAACAAATTATCATATAGTTTATAAAACTTGTTAAAGAATTCTACCTGTATCCTAAATCATCCAACAGCGCTCGTGCATCAGCCTCGGTTTCGTACATTAGTTCTGCAAGTCCCTCGTGCGTTCGTTTCCAGAACTGACAATCTACGTTAACCTGATTTCTTGGCCTGACGCCTATAATAAATACAGTACTTCTGTCTTTCACATAATACGCCGAAAAACAGTACATACTCCGTGATTTATCAATAGGCTGCCATCTTTCTTTTGCAGCTACTGAGATCGGGAACGAAATACGGTTACATGTTGAATTAGCACTTCCGGTTGCGTTATCAGAACTTCCGGCGGTGTCGTAGTATATTTTTATTCCTGATCGTTTTATCTCCTCCTCTGTGTCGTCTGCAAGTCTCTGTCCCTCTTCTGAGGAAGAAATGGTCGACAATAGAAATAAACCGTATGCGAAAGTAATCCAGAATATTCCCTTTGTTAATACAAATAGAAATTTTATATACACACGTCTTTTCATTGTATGAACACAAACTCAAAGTTAACTTGATCGACTGCTTTTAACCAGTTAAAATATAACTTTCAATATATGTTCAAACACACGAAAGCTGTCGCACAGGAATGAACAGTTGGCGTGTATAGTTATTAATGTAGAAAAAACCCTAGGACAGTTTTCTATACAGTTTTATTATAACGTGCAAATATGAATTGAAATGTAAATTAGCGAATTGAACGAAACGCCTGAATAGCACGTGAATGTAAGCATAAAATTTTCTCAATTAAGTAAATGAACATAAAATAAGATTTAGTGATGCTTATATATAAGTGGTGAGCGATCAATTGAAAAAAAAAAAACTCATAAAAATTATTATATCGCTAAAAAATGTATGTTAACGTTTTTACAAGGTTGACTGGATTTAAGCCAGAGGAGTGAGTTCATTTTGATAGATTTTATATTGGCCCCATTTAAATGCTTACACAGATATATCTGTTTAGAGAATTCCCGTACCAGTCATTAGGCAGTCAACCATGAAATATCGTCATTTGTGCAAGTTTTTTTTTAGTTTTTCGTGATTTACCAGGCCCGTCGTCACGCTTTTATGATTGGTGCGGCCAATTTGGTAGGTTTTAGTCAGATTCTAGGGGGGTACGGGGGCATGCTCCCCCGGAAAATTTTTTATTGTAGGATGCTCTCAGGGGCATTTTCCCGTATATTTGGCACAGTTTACAGCCTGTCGCTAGTACATGTTATTATAATATGTCAATGATTTTTTTACAGATTTAAGTGCGTCGTAAGGGTTTTAAGGGTGAAATTCAAGGTTGTTTAACATAAATCACACAATGGTATAAGCTTAAATAGAGAATATTTGTTAAGTTCAGTGTAAGATCGGAAAATATTTCACAGAGTGAGCACCTAAAGGTATATTTCACGAGTGGCGCAGTCACGAGTGAAATATGAACATTTGGTGTTCTCAAGGTGAAATATATTTCAATCTTACACTATACTAAACAAATTTTCTTTTTATTACATGCAAAGAAACGTTTTTAAAAAGACATTAAACCTTATACTGAATGAAAAGCGCACGAACTAATAAAATAATTTACGACGTCACGTCATTAAGTTGGTAACCAGTATTGCGCACGCTGGTATTTCACTAAAACAACGTAAGGGGTTTAAATTCAAAACAGTGAAATAATTTCACTGTTTCAAACAGTGAAATAACCAGTTTTATATCACTGATATATTTCTATAAACCACCGAAAAGCATGTAATAAATAACAATCGATGCCATGATGGAAGAATAGTACATTACGAGTCAACAATAACCGCTTTTTTTGTTTAGCAGTAACTTGTATTTTGTTCACAATAATCTTACAAAACACAGAGTCTCATTTTATGTAAATTTTCCAAAAACACATCGCCGTAATTCTCTGGTGGTAACGAACTCATCGGCAATTACACGTAAGTTGAGTGAATCTGTCCAGTACTTATAAATATGTAACACCATTACTTAGATTGTTCAAATGTACTTGAGACATTGTCGATCTTAAATATGTCTTTATTCTTTTGAGCGCCGAGAATGTCCTATCACTGATAACATAAGTAGCAGGCATCTTTAACAAAATGACCTCAGAGAACAGGGCTCTTTCTAGCACTGTCTGTTTTGACACAAATTTCAAAGAGTCAGGTACAGTAACAGTAATATTTTCTGATTTGTCAAAATGACTTCGTAGGACCCCTACATGTATACCTGGTCAATTAACAGTGTCCAGTCATTTTCTGATATTACCGCTCATTGCATAAGGGGCCAGTTAAGTGTCAAATTGCTAATCAGCGATGCGTGTTTTTTTTTCTGTTTTTGTTTTGTCTTTTTTACTCATATTTGGCCAAAATATTGGTCCGGCCTTGGCCGGACCGGCCGGACCATCGACGACGGCCTTGAATTTACGCGGATTTAAAGACCATGTATGTTGTTATTGAGGTTGTGTACCACACTTAAGTGAAATTATATATATAATCCGCACAGTCTGATCAGGATCCATACTGTTCGCTATCAGTTTCTCTACTTGTTAGCGAACAGCATGGATCCTGATCAGACTGCGCGGATGCGCAGGCTGGTCTTGATCCATGCAGGTCGCAAACTCAAATTATGTATATAATTATGCTTATAAAGCAATGTTCAAACATTGAAGAATATGTAAAATATGTACTGCAAATAGCTGTATATATTATTATGTAATCATTAAAATATATGCACTCCTTTTTTCTTTCTTTTTTTGAAAAAAAATTGACGTAGACTTTATAGAAAATATTTTTTTTATTACATGAAATGTTAAATTCGGTTATATCTTTATAATGCTTTTTGGAAGTAACAAAATTGATAAATCTTAATTTGAGCATCATATTTATGAAATAAAACCATGAAAAAATTGTGTTACAGGATCTTTAATTTTAGTTAGCCATGCAGAAAATTAATTTAGCCCTTTGTGTAACCTGTTTGCGCCTTCTTTCTTTTCTCCTATGTGTACCAAAATTGCGTTGCAACGCTTTTGCTAAAATCGATCAAAGGATAGAATAAAATATGAATTTTCAAATTATTTCTGAGTATATTTCCTAATTATCTTGTGCAAATCTTTGTATGCCCGTTCGAAGCTTTATGTACCTGCTAACAAAATTTATCACACACCCGTGCCGCTTTTGCGACTCCTTAAGGATGGTATTGCACTTGGGTGCATATATTTTGACGTGACGTCATTTTCGATATACATACATTTAAGTGTAAATGACGCGCTAAATGTTAGTGTTATGTACATTAATGAAAAGGATTCTTTTTCACTTAAACATTCTTTATTATGGTATGTTAATATTATATTCGAATAGGTTCATGAAAGTAATTTATTGAATCCGTTGAATAAAATATTATGCTCCAAAATATAATTGTATCATAGCACAGGAACTTGAAATTCTATCACTATTAACGATAATATGCAAAATATACCCCCTATATACTATAAAAATTTTTTATAGTATATAGGGGGTATATTTGGATATTATAATTAATATTGGTTATTTGATAGAATTTCAAGTTCCTGTGATCATAGTTTGGGGACCTTTCTGTTGAAAATGTGTCACAGTTAAATCGTATACATATACATGCACAGTGCGTTAACTGGAGTGCAGGTATTAGTTACCCGCACTCCAGGGCATGCCCATTGATTGGCTCATTTTTGCTGGGGTTTACATATTGTGACGGCAGACAGAGTGAAAGCGGCAGAAATATCATATTCAGATGTTCGTTCATTGGTTCCTTTTTGCCGGGGTTTCATATTGTGACAACAGGGAACGTGTTTTTATGCTTGACTAAGATACAAAAGAGAAAGAACATCAAAACACTCGGCAATCTGATTAATACTCGGGGCTACGCCCCCTCGTACAAATTAGATAGCCTCGTGTTTCGATGCTTTTTCTATTACTTAAATTCAACTCGATCAAAAAGTAACACAACATTTATATTAAAGTCATAATTAATATGACGTCAAAAATCATTCGAAATTTAGCGTCCGAAGCGTCTCGGATACTGAAAATTCAAACTATAATTATATTTATATCTTACTTTCAATAAATATATTTTAAGTTTATAAAATCGTTTGAAAATTATATATTTCCTTTAAAACATGAAAATATGTCAAATGCATCATATAGGTCAAATTCTATAATAATTTTCACACAGAAAATGGAAATATTTGAAGTAAACCTAATTTGAATTACTTCCCTTTATTTTTACAAAAGATACGAATAACTTTCGCAGTGTTTTGTATATCTAGTTAAAATTCTTTTTTTTTTAATTCAAGCTGTTCTCAAGTTAACTACAGGCAGCAAATAACTACAGGCAGCAAATGTATAGAGAATGTTTAAGTTTCTTCTATAAATACAGGATTTATTTTCATCGAGTGGTGTGACAATTAATATTTCACATGTCGCAATAGCCACTAGTGAAATATGATAATTTTCATACCACAAACCTCATGAATAGGAAGAATTTCCTTTTAATTTTGTGTAGAAGAAATTAAGTAGTCCGGCAAGACGCTAGTGAAAATACGGAAATATGTTTCACTGTAGTGAAAAATAAATTTTTAAACATACGCATTTTATTTCATCAATATTTCTCAATATTTCATTTATAAATATAATATAGATCTAAACAGGTATAGAATCTTGGGCAACTATGGTGTCTTTATCAGAGATAAGGAAATTGACCGCCAAGGTCCTTAAAGATCCTGTATGTTGTAATTAAGGTTGTTACTACACTTAAGACTCAACCATGTTTACAACCAGTAGGCAATTCGCGTGTAATTAAATGACCTGCTAAATTTTATTGCACGTGAAAATCGTGCAAAAATAGACTGTTGCATGGTTAGAAAAAAAATCAATAATATTCCCAATAGAATAATACACATGCACTTCACGTGCAAATCATGGATACTTAAAATATGCTCCTCGTAAAGCCGCAGTCTGCAGTTTCGAACAGTAGTCTTCAAGGAGTTCTTCCTCTACTCATTTCAGGCAAGCAAATTTATGCTAAAAAGTTATTCTTAAAATGTTTATTTATATTAGTTCATTAATAAGTCTTTCGAATTTGACAAAATTTGAATTAAAATATCATTTGATTGTATCAAAGTTTGGGGACCTTTCTGTTACATGCACATTGGGTTGGAGTGCAGCGCTACAGAGCATGCCCATTGATCGGCCCATTTTTTTCTGGGGTTTACATATTGTGACGACAGAAATATCATAATTGTCCTTGGTTACCTTTTCCTGACCTGGGGTTTCATATTGTGACATTTTATTTTGGCTTATAATTCAAAAAGAGAAGAACATCAAAACACGTGGCAATCTGATTCTGCCCCTCGCACAAATCAGATAGCCTTGTGTTACGATGCTCTTTCTAAGACAAATATATAAAACAATAGAAAAAGAAAATATGTAAAGTGAACTTAATTTGAATCACTTCTCTTTAAATAGTTTCGAAAATACTTAAACAACTTGACTATATACTAGTACTTGCTACACGTATGACTGGTTAATTATCTCGATCGCACCACTTAGTTACTCGTGCGCACAACATAGAAAGGTCTCCTGTCCACGACTTAAT